ATCTTCTGGACTTCTATTTGTTGATTTTGTATCATTTCTAATTTTTCATTTATTTTATCTGTTTGTTCTTGTATCATTTTCCCAAATTGTTCTAGAGTTTAATGTGTGTTTTCCTTACTTTTGTCAGTGTTTTCTCTGATATGTCTCTCAACCTGTTGAAGGTACCTAAAGATAATTCTTTTGAATCCCTTATCAGGGAGTGCCAATGCCACTTCTTCCTTAGGGAGATTTTCTGGGTCCGTATCCTGGTCTCTTGTTACTATTTTATCTTGCTTCTTTGTGTAGACTGGGATGGTCAGTTGTCTCTAGGATATTGTGATGTAATTGTATTTGTATTTAATTGGTGACTGTATGTTGATGTGATTTGCCCAGAAGTCTTCTTATTTTTATTTTGTTTTGATATCTGAGTGAGCAGGGCTATTGTGTTCCTCTTTTCACTAGTTGCCAGCACTTAGGCAGTCACTGCCTGTCTCCTGATGGGTGTGATAGACAATGAAAGTGTGTGCACAGATCTCTGTTAGTTGTTCATGAAAGCAATTGACGGTAAGTTGGGCTGCTATTGGCTGCTATCTATTGTTGATCAGTATGTGCAGAAGCAAGTGGTGGCCCTTACCTAGTGGGTGGGGCTGCAGGAGGTACAAGTAGGGCTGTGTTGTGTGGGCATGGTTGCTGTCTCCAACATGGTTAAACAATAAAACAAAACAAAAGAAAGAAAAAACTGCCTAAACAGACAGAAGCAATCACATTAAAAAAAGAAAAAAGAAAGAAAAAGAAAAAGCAATAAATGAAAAGAAAAATAATTTTAAAGAAAGAAAAACAAAGAGAAGAACAACTTCAATATACCCAGGGATGGGGGCCAGAGTATAAAAGAGCAAGAGAATAATAAAGATGAAATAAAATGCAAGAATAAAAACAAGAGCTGGGAAGAACCAAAAGAAGAAAAGAAAGAAAAAAGAAGGGAACCAGTAAAAGGAAGAGAAAGAAAACAAACTGAAGAAACAGGGAAAGGAAAGAGAAAAAAAAAATTAAAAAAGGAAGATAGGAAAGAACAAAGAATGACTTAAAATCTAACAAACAAAAACAAAACTGGGGGTTGGGGTAGCAGGACATCCAGGTTCTTTCAGGGTGCCCAGATCAGGACAGAATGTGGAGTGGGTGGAGTTGGGGGATGGTCACACTTCCATTCACCAACAGAGTGTGGAGTATAAAGGTAACAGGGGGAATATCACACCACCGTGCTTGCCTGTGCTTTCCATGGCAAGTGAAGCCTACCCTTAGGTTGCTGCCCAGATCAGAATGCTACTTGCAAATACTCAAAAGGGTTGTGTCTTCAGGATAGCCACCAGTTTACAACTGTTTGTCTCCTTATTCACTGTTCCCTTTCTAGTCGTCAGCCTGCAATGAAGTTGCCCATGAAGTCTTTGGCAAGCAGAGTTGATTCTCAGGTGTGGTAGTTATGTTTGTGTGTCAACTTGGCTGGGCCTGGTTGAGTGCCTGGGCAGCTGGGGGTAGTTATTCCCCATGATGAGACTGTCAATTCCATGGTGGAATCTACCACAAGCAGCTGAGTAGCTGCCTTTGGGTATGTGGTCTGCTTCCCGTATATAAGTAGCATCTTTGGGAATGGTCTCTAGCTTTTGGCACGCTCGGACCCTACATGTAGCCGTGCCATTGCTCAGCAGCCTGCTGTGCTCTGCCAACCTTGGGACTTACAGTGGACTTAAGTTAATGGCCTGCTGTGTGGATTGGTAGCATCGGGACTGTGCTTTTTTACTTGTCAACCTTGGGGCTTCTCAGCCTCAGCAGCCAGCGCTGTCTGAGTGAAGAAATGCCTCTAGCTCTAGTGGTCTGGGAGCAGGAGGCAGAGTTGGACCCCAAGGTTGAGGGGCTTTCACCCATCCCCTAGAGCCTGGCACTTTGAACTTGGACTTAAAGCCTCCAAATTGTAAAAATAAACTCCTGTTTGTTAAGGTCGTCACGTTTGTGGTGTATTTCTCGTCAGAGCGGCATTAGGTAACCAGAACATTAGGTTTCTGCCCTGATCAGAATGCCCCTTATAAATATTGGCCAAGCCATCAGGACAGTCAACAACCCTAAGTTCTGTTTGTCTCCTTGTTGACTGCTTTCATTCAGATTCTTCCAGCTGGTATTTAATCCACTTCTTTATCCTTCCCTTCAAAACTCAGGGTTCCAGGATTATCTTCTGTATCTGTTTCAATTTGTTTCTTGTTTCTTTGTTGCAGAGGGTCTGTGTAGCTTGTCTGTGTATTCCACCATTTGGTCAGAAGTGTCCCATTCCCGTTCTCTTTTCTTTTCTTTTTTTCCTTTTTTTTTTTTTTTTTTTAAATAATTATTTGTTTTTCTGTCGTGATCCATAGTTTTTTGTTTTGTTTTGTTTTTTAAACTTTTATTGTTATTTGGGTGAAAGTTTACAGAGCAAATTCATTTTCCATATAGTAGTTCATGCACATTTTGTTTCACAACCTTGACTGCAGTTCTACACAGTGTAACAGCTCTCTTCCCACTTCCTTCCTGTAGTTACCTCTTCCCAATGCACTGCCCCCTCCCCCAGCTATCTCCCTCTATAAACACTGCCCTTCTGTTATCCCATAATTGATCACTCCAAGGAGTGTATGTATCTAATGTAAATGTTCATCCCATATGCCAGTGTATTGTTTGGCTGGAAGCCACAGGAGTGAGAATAATTAGGGGCCATAGTCTCAGGGGTCTCACCAGGCTCTATCAGACCAGCAAACTTGGGCTTTTTTTTATGATTCTGAATTTTATTCCACATTGTTCTCCCACTCTATTCAGGATCTCCTGCCCTGATTCCCTCTGAGTGGTTGTCAGTGGTAGCCAGGCACCACCTAGTTCTTTTGGTCTCATGGTCATATAGGTTGAGGATCACACAATCTACTAGTCCCCTGGACTAATTGTTTCTATGCATCTTTGCCTTTCTTCAAGGAGCTCTGGTGGCACAGTGCCTAAGGCATCTGACTGCTAACCGGAAGTTTGGTGGTTCAAACCCACCAGCCACTCTGTGGAAGGAAGACTGGGCAATCTACTCCCATAAAGATTTACTGCCTCAGAAACCTAATGGGGGTTGCTGTGTGTCAGAATCGACTCAATGGCAGTGGGTTCGGTTTTTGCATTTTTTGGTTGCTTTTGTTCATTCTTCTTTGCTCTGGATGAGGAGAGACCTACAGTTGCATCTAAACGAATGCTTGCAAGCTTTTAAGACTCCAGTTGCTACTCACTAAAGTAGAATGTAGAACATCCTGCTGCTTTTGTGTAGAATATTATGCCCACTGAGCTTGATGTCCCCTGCAACAATGGTCCTGAGCCCACGGATCTAACTACATGCTCCCTCAAGGTATCTGGTCATAGCCAAGAAGCCACCACAGTCTTGTCCCCTGGACATTCTTATAGCACATACAAATACTATCATAGAAATATTGTCTGCCAACCCTATACATGGTCATGGGTACACTATCCCCTGCGTAGACATACCTGACCATTCAGCCTGTCTACCCATCTATCCACCTGTGGATCAATGCTTGCCATCATTGATAACACAGTACCGTACATGTAAAAGGGTTCATCTTTGTTGTCTGTACCTCCAATGTACCTCTCTGTGTGTTTCTCTTCCTCCATGGCACCATGCTGATCACTCACTTTTGGTATATTGCCCTTCCCTTCACCCAAATCAATACTTGTCTCTACCTATCTAGCAGTGTTTCCTCCCTTTCCCTCCCATCCTTGGTAACCAACAAAAAAACAGATTCCTTCCACATATAAACCTTTCCTTGACTTTTTACAATAGCGAATTAATATAATATTTGTCCTTCTGTGATTGACTTACTTCACTCAGCATAATATCCTCCAAGTTAATCCATGTTATGTGGTGTTTTGCAGATTCTACATTATTCTTTAGTGTTGCATAGTATTCCATTGTGTGTACGTACCATAGTTTGGTTATCCATTCTTCTGTTGATGGGCACTTAGGTTGTTTTTATTTCTTTGCTACCAAAAATAGAGCTGCAATTAATATGAGTGTGCATATATCTATTCTTGTCTTGGCTCTCACTTCTTTAGCATATATACCCAGTAATGGTATTCCTGGATAAAATAGTATTCCTAATTCCAACTTTTTAAGGAATCATCACACTGATTTTCACAGTGGTTGTATTATTTGACAGTCCTGCTAGAATGTATGATAGTCCCAACCTCTCCACAAACTCACCAGCATTTGCTATTTTCTGTCTTGTTGAACTTTGTTATTAGTGCTGGTATGAGATGGTATCTCATTGTTGCTTTGATTTGCATCTCTCTAATGGCTAATGATCATGAGCATTTCTTCACGTGTTTGTTGGCTGCCTGAATATCTTTTTTGGTGAAATGTCTATTCATGTCTTCTGCCCATTTTTTAATTGGATTGTTTGTCTTTTTGTTGTTGAGATGTTGGAGTTTTCCATAAATTTGAGAAATTTGTCGCTTGTCAGGTATGTCATTACCAAATATTTTTTTCCATTCTGTAGGTTCACTTTTGACTCTTGAAGTCCTTTGAAGCACAAAAAAATTTAATTTTTAGATGGTCCCTCCCATTCATCTAGTTTATCTTTAGCTGTTTATGCATTTCGGGTTATGCTTGACAGTCTATTTATAACATAAATTAGAGCCCCTGAATTTGCCCCTATTTTTACCTTGAGGAACTTTATAGTTTTTGGTTTCACATTTAAGTCTTTGCTCCATCTAGAGTTAGTTTTTTGTGTATGGTATGAGATATGGCTCTTGTTTCAGTTTTCTGCAAATGGTAACCAGTTCTGCCAGCACCATTTGTTAGACTGTCTTTTCCCCATTTAATGGATTTTGGCCCTTTGTCAAAGATCAGCTGACCATAGGTCAATGGATCTACTTCTGGGTTCTCAATTCTATTCCCCTGGTCCACTCAAATTTACTCTTAAAGAACAAAACACAGAAAACAGCTTTGATTTCCTTACCTTTGCCATTTCTTTGAGGTAAGCATCAATGAAGTCCCTTGGTTTGTCAGGATTCCAATCTCTCTTGTGTTTTTCAATCATACGAGAAACAAACATTTTTAATTTCTCCCAGTCTCTAAAGACTGTTTGGTGAGGTCCAGGAAGGAATTTCATTATCCATGGAAAGACACTGTAGAGCTAATTGACAAAAACGAAACAGTCATGGAGACTGTTCATGACACTTTTCCACATTTTAAGACAAGAGAAACTGTCTTCTCTTTTTATCTCACTCTTTTTATTGCTTACACCTAAACCTTAAATTCATCCTTAACTCTTCTTTCTCTCTCACCCTTCTAGAAAAGCATTTAAGTTCTCTATCCAAAATAGGCCCAGCCTCTGACCCTATTTACCAACCAACTGTTGCCACAGTTCAAACCACCTAATGTAAATCACCATCATATCTTACCTGGATGCTGTAATGGGCTCCAACAGTTTTCCTGATTCCATTACTAATCCCAAACCTTCTGCCATTGAGTTGATTCTGATTCATTGCAACCCCCACTGTGTTTCCAAGGCTGTAGACCTTTATAGAAGTTAGATTGCCTCATCTTCCTCCTGCAGAGCAGCTGGTGAGTTTGAACTGCAGATCTTCTGGTTAACAGCCAAATATCTTACGCACTATGCCTCCAAAGCTCCTTATTAATATTAATTTCACTCCCAGTTTATTTCCCACAGAGCTGCCAGTGATCATTTAACAGTTTAATGAGATTGTTTCACTTCTTGGCTCTTGAGTCTCCAATGGCTTTTCATTACACTCAGAAAAAAACGTCTATGTGATTACCTGGGCTTATAAACCTTTATAGGAGCTCTGGTAGTATAGTGCCTAAGGCATTTGACTGCTAACCAGAAGGCTGGCAGTTCAAACCCACTAGCCACTCCTCAGAAAGAAGGTTGGGCAATCTACTTCCGTTATACAAATTGCTCTTTACTTATCCATCACCAACTTTCCTATCACAATCACCTCACTTTCTACACTAGCCAGTACACTGACACAAGAAAAAGAAATGAATGGTATGAGGACTGGAAAGGAAGAAACAAAGCTATCACTATTTACATAAGATAGATTGTCTGTGAAGTCATCCACACACAAAGTATAGTGCTGATAAGAAGGAATCAAAGTTGATGAATACAAAATCAAGAATCAAGTCAATTGCAAAGAGAGAATAAATGGATTGCAGTTTAAGAAATTTGAGTCCTTCAAAAAAATGTAGATACTGGCAATGATCATCAATGGTATCTAAAACCATGAGGTAAAGAACAGATAGAGAATTCTACAATAGATGGATCAGGCTGAAAACCCATGAATCCATATGAACATTAAAAAAATTTAAAAAAAAAAAAAGAGACACTGGATATGATATACCTCCTAAAAAGGTAAGTTTTTCTAAAACTCAAATTTGATTCTAATCAATTCTGTAGATTTAATACCCAATGTATATAAAACAAAGAGCTAGAAGAACATGTTAAATGCCAAAGAAATGCAATCAGAAAACTACAAAATATGAATAGTTTACTGTAAAAATGCCTCAGCTTTGTCAATAACGAAACTGGAAAAAAAAAAAAAAAAAGAGGAGGGGAGGGAGAATATGAAGGAAGCCATTGAACATATATTAAATGTTAAATGACTTAAGAGATATAAGAGAGACTTGAGAGATACAGTAACCAATGACAAGACAGAGGCCTAGTTTGGCTTCTGATTCAAAGAAAAAAACCATAAAAAGTACTTAAGAGACATGAAGGGAAATCAGGACACTGGCTAGGTATCTGATGACATCAAAGAATTGTTAATATATTTTAGGTGCAATAACATTTCATTTTTATTAAAATAAGTCTTTTCAGAAAAATATACTGAAATATTTATTGCTTGAATAATTGAGGTCCATAATTTACTCCAAAATAATCCAAGAGTTGGGGGAAAGAGTAAGGTGGGGATACAGATAAATACAGACTTTCCTTGTATTGATAATTATTGGAACTGAAGGAGGGGTATAGAATAATTCATTATTTTATTTTAAAGTATGTTTGTAATTTCCAAAAAATGTTCTTTGATTTTTATTGAGGCATTTTTTTCAATTTTGGTTAAGATACAGTGGATAACCTTCTGACTGAAAACACCAAAGTAAGATTAAAATACACACACACACACACACATACACATGACAGTGTGGAATCTCAGGCATGAGGTTTAGAGGAAGAAGGAAATACAGAGAGGTTCAACACTTGGGGTCAATTTTCTTCCTTGCAATGTATTCCAAATCCATAGAAGTTACTGAGAAACCAAAAAGCTGACAAAGTTTTGATAGACTGACAGATCAGAATTTGGGTCCCAAGAAGGAAAGGAATTAGGTTTGGATACCCAAGAGCACCCTAAGGTATTAAAAGACTGATGATAGCAAGTGTTTGTGTCCTGTAAATAATGCACAATTGGAAACCTTTTGACATCTGTTTCTTCCAGGTACACATGCAAAAGAAATGAGTGGCTATGGCTATAATAACTCTTGTTCAAGAATGTTCATATAGCTTTATTCACACCATGCAAAGACTGGACACAACCGAAAGCATTTACTAATAGAAAACAGATTAACAAACAGTGGCATATTCATACAACGGAACATTAATCAATAGTAAAACAGAGCAATCGACACACATTGATAAGAAAACTGTCTGCTGAGCAAGAAGCCAGACACAGAAGAGTACTTCTTTATGTTGAGGTGTAATCCATACTAAAGACTGCGGTCTTTGATCTTCATCTGTAAGTGCTTCAAGTCATCTTCACTTTCAGCGAAGCAAGGTTGTGTCATCTGCATATCACAGGTTGTTAATAAACCTTCCTACAATCCTGATGTCACACTGTTCATACAGTCCAACTTCTCAGACTATTTGTTCAGCATACAGATTGAATAAGTATGAGAAAAGGATACAACACTGATGCACATCATTACTGATTTTAAGCTATGCAGTATCACCTTGTTTTGTTGAAACAACAGACTCTTGGCCTATGTGCAGTTTTCTCATGAGCACAATTAAGTGTTCTGGAAACCCATTCTTTGCAATGTTATCTATAATTTGTTATGACCCTCACAGTCAAATGCTTTGCATAGTCCATAAAACACAGGTAAACAGTTTTCTGTTATTCTTTGTTTTCAGTTGAGATCCAGATAACATCAGCAAGGATATCCCTTGTTCTATGTCCTCTTCTGAATCCAGCTTGCATTTCTGGAAGTTCCCTTTCAATATACTGCTGCAATCATTTTTTAACTTTCTTCTGGAAATATGTGCTGTGTATGATATTAATGATATTGTTCAATAATTTCCACATTCTATTACATCACCTTTCTTTGGAATGGGAACAAATAAGGACCTCTTCTAGTCATTTGGCCAGGTAGCTGTCTTCCAAATTTCTTGGCATAAATGAGTAAGTGTCTCCAGTATTACATTCATTTGTTGAAACATCTCATTGTGTATTTTGTCAATTCCTGGAACCTTGTTTCACCAATTTCCTCAGTGAAGCTTAAACTTCTTTCAGTACCATTGGTTCTTGATCATATCCTGAAATAGGTACATATTGATTGATTCTTTTTGGTACAGTGATCGCATAAATACCTCCTAACTTCTTTTGATGCTTCCTACATCATTCAAGATCTTGCCCATAAAATCCTCCAATACTGCCACTGAAGGCTTGAAATTTTTCTTCAGTTCTTTTGGCTTGAGAAATGCCAAGCATATTGTTCTCCTCTGGTTTTCTAACTCCAGGTCTTTCACATTTCATTATAACACTTGACCTTGTCTTCTCAAGCTGCCCTTTCAAATCGTCTGTTCAGCTCTTTTATCTCAGCATTTCTTCCATTTGCTTTAGGTACTCCATTCAAGAGAAAGTTTCAGAGTCCCTTCTGACATTCATTTTGGTCTTTTCTTCCTTTTCTGTCTTTTTAATGACCTTTTTCTTTCTTCTTGGATGATATTCTTGATGTCATCTTACAACTCATTTTGGTTTTCGGTGATTGGTGTTCAATGCATCAAATCTATTTTTCAGATGATCTCTAAATTCAGATGGGATATTCTCAAGGTCATATTTTGGCTCTCTTGAACCTGCTTTAATTTTCTTTAGCTTCACCTTCAACATAAATATAAACAATTGTTGTTCTGTTCCAGAGTCAGCTCCTGGCCTTGTTTAGACTGATGATATTGACTTTCTCTATTGCCTCTTTCCACAGATTCTTATGTATCACATTTGGTGAGGTTCATGTGTGTAGCCACCATTCATATTGCTAAGTATGATATCCTTCACGGAATGGTCCCTTCTGACAACATGATCAAAATACATGAGACATAGTCTACACAATCTCAGTAAATAATATTTAGTATTATTAAAAACAGTAATGTCAACAGATTGATTTCAAGTAGCTTTCTGTTGAAGTTCATTAACAGGTTGGTTATATCTTAGCTAAAAATAAAAAAATAAATAAAAAAGGAAGAACCTATCTGAGTCTGACACCAGCCCCTATTATCCTTAACCATGGCATGGAAAAAAAAAACTGCTTACCTGGCACCACTTTCCAGTTTCCAGACATACGATTTCATCTAGCAACTTCAGCAGTTCCTGAAACTGACCATCCTGGTATTCAAAGCGCTCCCAAAGGTAATGGAGCATATGATATGGGAAATTGCATTGTTGATCTTGAAGTGAGGGTCAAAAGGCTGTCCTAGAGACAGAGGAACGACGAGATGGATCCTTCAGATTGGTTTGTTTCTGCTTTGTAAGGAAAGTCTACTCTATATGACACACCACATATGAAGCTCTGGCCACAGCCCCCTGCACATGCTCTGACACACAGCAAGTACTCAGGAAATGGTTGCAAAGTCAAATTTACAGCCAGGGTTTAAATTCAGTAATGTGTTTAATGCCTGTCTTCTTGTCATGAATTCCACTAGGGCAGAGTCCATGGTTAGTTGTTCACTATTAATACCTTTAGTTCCTAGCACAGAGCCAGGAACAGGAGAGGGACCTAGGAGCTTAATAAGTACCTGTTCAATGAATGATTGAACCACAAACATCTGCACCTGTCCTACGAAACCCTCACCTTTCTCCTGTTCTATTGCCTTGACGAAGTGGCAGGCCTCCTCCTGAATACGTTCTTCTAAGCTCTTCTTTCCTAAACCAAAGTTCCTTAGTGTTGTCAGGGCAAACCTTCTTTGCTCCTTCCATTCCTGGCCATTGGACATGATCAATCCTGGGAAAAAGAAAGCTCATATTATGCTATTCTGATTCAAAAAATGGGAACATCTGGCAAATGATACAAGGGTGTATCTGATGGAGTGAAGGAAAGGAGTATTAAGCACTTGAAACCTATTTAGAGTAATAACCCCAAAGCAATAGATATAATGGCTAAAATATATTGAATATTTACTATACCAGGCAGTTTACTGTTTTTCATGCATTATGTAATTTAGTACATCTTGACTGCTAACCAGAAGGCTGGTGGTTCAAACCCACCAGCCACTCCTTGGAAGGAAGGTTGGGCAATCTACTTCTGTATGATACTGCCTCAGAAACCTAAGGAGGGGTCGCGATGAATTGGATCCGACTCAATGACAGTGAGGTTGGTTGGTTGGTAGAAACTGTATGGAGTAGCAATAATTATTATCTCCACTTTCCTGAAGAGAAAACTGAGGCACAGAGGATTAACTTTGCAAGGTTGCATAGTTACTAAGCAGGTAAACAGACATTCACATTCAGGTTTACCTGATTCAAAAATCCATGCTTCAATTATCAGTCAATAAGTATACACACACACACACACACATATATATATATAATCATATATTTTTGTTGTTAGGTATTGGAGAGTTGATTGCAACTCACAGCAACTCTATGTACTATAGGATGAAACACTGTACAGTATTGGGCCATCTTCACAATCACTTGAGCCCACTTTTGTAGCCACTGTGTCACTCAATCTCATTAGAGGGCCTTCCCCCTTTTTCTCTGACCTTCCACTATACCAAGCATGATATCTTTCTCCAGGGATTGGTCTCTTCTGATGACATGACATGTAGGTGACACAAAGTCTGGCCATTCTTGCTTCTAAGGAACATTCCTGCTGCACATCTTCTGGGATAGATTTGTTCTTTCTTCTGACAGTATTCTTCACCAGTATCACAATTCAAATGCATCAATTCTTCTCTAGTCTTCCTCATTCACTGTCTAGCTTTCACATGCATATGTTGTTGTTGTTGTTATTATGTGCCGTCGAGTCGGACCCGACTCATAGCGACCTGAGGCCACTGAAAATATCAGGGTGGATTAGGCATATCTTAGTCTTCAAAGTCACATATTGGCTCTTCAACACATTGTGGATCCAAGTAAAACGATGTATTTGACAACTTCTATCTTTTTTCCATTTACCACGATGTTGCTTACTGGTCCAATTGTGAGGACTTTTCTTTTCTTTGTGTTGAAGTATAATCCATATCGAAGACTGTAGTCTTTGATTTTAATCAGCAAGTGCTTCAAGTCCTCTTCACTGTCAGCAAGCAAGGTTGTGTCATCTCCATATTGCAAGTTGTTAATGAGTCTTCATCCAAACCTAATGCTGTGTTCCTCTCATATAGTCCAGCTTCTCAGGTTATTTGATCAGCATAAAGACTGAATAAGTGTCATGAAAGTATACAACCCTGACGCACACCCTTCCTGATTTTAAACTATGCAATATCCTCTTATTCTCTTCAAGTAACAGCCTCTCTGTCTATGACAGCTTCTTCATGAGCACAATTAAATGTTCTGGAATTCCCAGTCTTTGCAATGTTATCCATAATTTGTTATGATCCACATAGTCAAATGCTTTTTCATAGTCAATAAAACACAAGTAAACATCTTTCCGGTATTTTTTGCTTTTAGTCCAGATGCATCTGACATCAGCAATGATATCCCTTGGTCCACATCCTCTTCTGAATCCAGCTTACATTTCTGGATATTTCCTGTCAATATACTGCTGCAACCATTTTTGAATTATCTTCAGCAAAATTTTACTTGCATATGATATTAATGATATTGTTCAATAATTTCCATATTCTGTTGGATGACGTTTCTCTGGAATGGGCACAAATATGGATCTCTTCCAATCAGCTGGCCAGCTTGCTTCTTCCAGCTTTCCTGGCATAGATGAGAAAGCACCTCCTGCTCTGCATCTGTTTGTTGAAACAACCCAATGGGTAGTCCATCAATTCCTAGAGCCTTGTTTTTCACCAATTCCCTCAGGGTAGCTTGGACTTCTTCCCTCAATATCATTGGTTCTTGATCATATGCTATGCCCCAAAATGACTGAATGTAGATCTTTTTTTTTTTTTTTGGTACAGTGTCTCTGTGTATTCCTTCTATCTTCTTTTGATGTTTCGTGCATTGTCAATATTTTGCCCATAAAATCCTTCAATATTATAATTGGAGGTTTGAATTTTTTCTTCAGTTCTTTCAGCTTGACAAATGCCAATTGTGCTCTTCCCTTTTGGTTTTCTAATTCCGGGTCTTTCACATTTCATTACAATACTTCACTTTGTCTTCTAGGGCCGTCCTTTGAAATATTCTGTTCAGCTCTTTTATTTCATCATTTCTTACTTTTGCTTCAGCTACTCTCCTTTCAATAGCACATTACAGAGTCTCTTCTGACCTCCAATTTAATCTTTACTTCCTTTCCTGTCTTTTTAATGACCTTTTGCTTTCATGTATGATATTCTTGATCTCATCCCATAAGTCATCTGGTCTTCAGCCACTGGTGTTCAATGCATCAAATCTGTTCTTCAGATGATCTCTAAATTCAGGTGGGATATATTCAAAGTTATATTTTGACTCTCATGAGCTTGTTTTTATTTTCTTCAGCTTCAACTTGAGCATATGAGTAACTGTTGTTCTGTTCCACAGTCAGGTCCTGACCTTGTTTTGACTTTTGATAGTGAGCTTCTTCATCACCTCTTTCCACAAATGTAGTCAATTTGATTGCTGTGTATTCCATCTATCAAGGTCAATTTCAGTTTCGTCAATTTCAGATGGCAGAAACTGGTAAAAAAAATCTTCAATTTCTTCATATTTTGCTTTGGTGGCTGGTGTGTAAATTTGAATTATAGTCACATTAACATATGTTCCTTGTAGCCATAAGGATATTATCCTGTCAGTGATAGCATTGTACTTCAGGATAGATCTTGAAATGTTCTTTTTGATGAAATTCACACGATTCCTCTTCAATTTTCCATTCTTGGCATAGTATACGATTATTTGGTTCAAAATGGCCAATGCCAGTCCATTCAACTCACTAATGCCAAAAATAAAATCTTTACGTGTTCTTTTCATTTCTGACAACTTCCAAATTTCCTATATTCATACTTTGTACATTCCATGTTCCAATTATTAATGAATGCTTGCAGCAGTTTCTTCCCTTTTGAGGCATGCCAAATCAGCAAATGAAGGTCCTGAAAGCTTTATTCCATCTACGTCATTAAGTTTGACTCCACTTTGAGGAGGCAGGTTTTCTGCAGTCGTATTTTGAGTGCATTCCAACACGAGGGGCTCATGTTCTAACACTATATCAGACAATGTTTTGTGGCTTTTAACAAAGTTTTGCAGTAATATATCAGACAGTATTTTACTGCTATTCATAAGGTTTTTTCAGTGACCAATTCTTTCAGAAATGGATGACTCTATCCTTCTTCCAAGTCTCTCTTAGTCTGGAAGGTCCATTGAAATCTGTCCACCATGGGTGACCCTATTGGTATTCAAAATACCAGTGGCAGAGCCTCCAGCCTCACAGCAACACACAAATGACCACAGTATGACAAACTGACAGACAAATGGTGGATAATTGTATACATGTATGCCTAAGGCATTTGACTGCTAACCAGAAGGCTTGCGGTTCAAACCCACCAGACACTCCTCGGAAGGAAGATTGGAAGATCTACTTCCATAGTGATACCACCTCGCAAACCCAAGGAGGGGTCTCCATGAGCTGGATTCAACTTGACAGCAGTGAGTTTGATGTGGTTTTTGGTTTATATGCTTATATGTAATATGTAGCATATTATGTTATATTAATATTTATGTTTTGTTAAATACTAGGAATCCATTCATAGATAAGACAAAGTCATGTTCTTAAGGAGGCAAGAAAAGTTGTATATGGCAGGTTCTATCTAAGCTATGTCTTACAGGATGAAGGACAGACTCACAAAGACAAGTAGCAGTATTTCATGTCAAAAGAAGTATAGCATAAGAAAAGGAGGAAAAAAAAATCTCAGCATTTTTGTAGATTATCATTTGTTTTGTATCACAGGTAATGAATGATATACTCTGGTCCATTTCTTTCCTTCCAGAGCACTGTTGTTGTTGTTGTTGCTATGTGCCGTCGAGTCAGACCTGACTCACAGCGACCCCTCCTTGGGTTTCTGAGACAGTATCACTATGGAAGTAGATTGCCCAAGCTTCCTTCCGAGTGGCTGGTGGGTTTGAACCGCCAGCCTTCTGATTAGCAGTCAAGTGCCTTAGGCACTATGCTACCAGAGCTCCTTCCAGAGCACTACTAACTCCTTTTAATATCTGGCTTTGGCCTCTATCATCTCCTGCATTCAATGAAGTGGCCATCTTCACTTCATCTTACTTGAACTTTTAGCAGCACTGGAAGCTTCTTAATTTTTTCTTCTAATGGTTCTTTGGACATTACATTCTCCAGATTTTCTTCTTACTTCTATGACAATAACTTGCTTTATCTTTTGCTAGTTCTTCTTTCATCAATTGTGAATGATGAAGTTCTTTAAGATTAGGTCTAAAGCCTCTTTTCTTCTTACTCTACTTTTGGGAAATCTCATCAACTCCTAAAATTCTAGATTACATATTTTGACAGGGACCATTTATTTCTGCCCCTGGGCTCCAAACCCATATATACTATTGCCTGTTTGACTTTTCCAACTCAAAGGCATTTTAAAATCAGGACATCCAAGGCTAAATTCATGATTCTCTCTAAACAACTTACTACCAATCCAAATCAAACCAAACACCTTGTCCTCCTCCAAGTTTTCCCTTTTCCATCATCTACCCAGTTGGGCATCCACCTCACTACTGCCATCTCAACATCTAGCTCATCATATTGTATTGGATTTACCTCCTGAATATCTTCAATTCACTCATCTTCACTGTCACCATTCTGGTCTGACCTACTGTCATTTCTTGCCATGTATGTAGTCTAAGCTAGCA